TATATTATTAGGATTTTGCTTATAATTTATAATCTAATTTTCGTAGAAATAATGTCCGACTTATCATTTGAAACCATTTCTGTCAAAAGATTTACAATTTTATCATTCAATGAGAGAAATATGATTAAGAATACAGTATTGCTGGACATGAAGAGTGTGGGGGCGGACAGCGAGACTGTACTCTATTTGAACGCTATTTAATTGAAAATGATATACCCATTCGCTCTCTACTTATTATTACATATAAGACATGCATATTATAGACGCAGAATATTCCGTATAAACTCACACACATATCAAGACCCTAACAAAAGATAGTGTATATATAAGTTATTTAATTAATTTAATAAGGAATTTGTATTATGAAACATTTTATTAAATTACTGGATATGCATAAAATCTAATTATTAATGCATTTTGAATAACGTTTAAACAGTGTCTTTGGTATTGATTTGATGATTAGGTTCCGTAATAGCAATTAAAGTTAACGACAAACTTATTGCAAACAAAATGAGATATTTTTAATAATAAAAAAGACGAGTGAACCAAATATATTGACTAATCATTTCATTTTATTGAATTTATTTCCAATAAAAGTCTTATTATTTTTACATTTTGTGTAACAATCCATTTCTTATTATATTGTATAATATACTTTATATAAAACTATTAGTGAAATGCTGTGTGACTTGTATTTAGAAATTGATTTATTGTATTTTGATTTATGATTAACTTTGGATTGAATGCAATGTATTTTCATTGTTAATGTAATAAAATTCAATTTTTGATATATTGTGTAAAATAAATGTTACATTTAATCGAGTCGTTAAATACAATGAGAAAACAATAATCACATTATCTTTTCTGTAAACAAATTCAGTAACAAATAGTGTGAAGAAAATAGTGTTAAACAAAGCGTAGAATTTAATACAATAATTGGATTTAATAATCAAGTCATCTAATTATACGATAATTTGTTTTATTTCAAACTTTTAACTTGTTTTTGTATATAAATATGTATTTTACACTAAAATCCGTTCATTCGTAAGCTTTTGTTGAAAAGTGATGTTTGGCTTTAGTTATGATTTTTATTTAACAAAATAATCATTACATAATATATGATATCAACTAAACAATATACAAATTTGTAATTATATTGTAGTGTTTGACTAATGAAACGTCAAAATAGTTTTTAGTTATTTTCTCTGTAATTGTAGTGTTAAGTAATTACGAAGTGTTTTCAGTATTTAGTTTGACATTACATTTATATAATGCTATATAAATCTAATCAATAAAATTGTTTGTTAATATAATTTGTAGTTTTTGTTCAACAAATATATTGTGCGAGTCTTACTGTAAGTGTGAATGACTCTCAGCCTCCGACTAATTCTATCGTTTCATTTTAATACTAAAATATTGTATCAAACATTAGCAGTGCCTGAGCTCTTTCTTCGTCCTGTATTTCAAACAATAGTTATATAATTAATACTTTTATATATAATTAGTGCAATTATGATCTAGCACCTTTTGGCACCACTCGGTGAATTCTTCAAACGAGATGACACCGTCCTTATCGACGTCTATTAACTGATTATTCATAAACAGACAAATAATAAATACATTCTTATGTATACCTCTTATTGATATTACAGAATATATAACTATAGGAGTGAATGAAAAGCAAAATGCTTGAGTGATGTGCACCGGTAGTCAAAGGAAAGTACAAATCAAACATAAGATATGCTAGAATTTGTTGTAACAATGAGTTCAGTAAAGCATAAACTCTAAGATATATTACTTTGCAATAAAACTTATGGCAAAGCAATATATAACTATAACTTTGAATTCGGTTGTCATTGGCTCCGGGATTACAATATAAGGGTTTCAGAGTCTGTCTATTGTAATGAATGCATCAAAACATACAACATATTTGACCCGATTTTGTTAAACAATACATGTATAATTAAATCACTTTTTCATATAACGTGTAAACAAATTATAAATATGTTAATCAATATTAAATTCTGGATATTTCACACAAAATAAGCGTTTGAGATGAAAATAATTAATTATTTTTTTGGTAGAAATTAAGGATTTAACACTAATTATCGATTATTAAATAAAAGAAAAATAAAGTCATTTAAGGATCAAATAGACTATAAAAAGTATAATTAAAAGGAGTTTCAGAAAATAGAAAAAAACTGAAAGAAATTGTTTTACCAAACATTTAACAGAAATAGAGACAAAAAAGGTTTGAAAAGTTTACAAAACAATTGGTGCACAAAAATTAGTGATAAAATAGTTGCGACAATGAATACAATGGTCTAAGAGTTAGTGAGTTAGTGATGGCATTACGTGGAAGAGTCGGTCGACGTGTTCTTTAGGCGCCACCGAATCGACGAATGGTATGACATAATCGCCTAACCATTGATGGATTGAATGGAAAATGTATTGTCTTTAAGCAATTAATCATAAGTGTATACAATATTCATGGCATACATACCCAGCATATCATAAATAGCGCTAACAATGACCAACATCTCTGATTTACTGATGAATCCGTCGCCATTGATGTCGTATAAGCCAAAAATCCACCGCAACTTCTCTATCATTATATTATATAAATATTTGTGAATAAATATATTGTGTTATATTGTGTGTCAAACAATACCGTCGATTACAAAAGGCATTCAAAAATCAAACAAATTCTTAAATTAGTTTCTAAGTAAAAATCAATACAATCAGAGCTAACATTAAGTTTATATTAAATTTTTATATGTGATGTAAAAAATGAGTTTCAATGTCTATCAAAGTGTGAAAATGGGAGTAAAAATAATTTTCAAAATCAATAGAAAGAATACATTTCATACCCAGTAATGAACCCCGAGATAGAGACGACAACATGTTTAGAAATTGCTGTATAATAGACAAGCATTCAAATTAGGAGAATAATGTACAAATTTGTATCAATATATAGTGTTTTAATTGAAATATATTATACACTAAGAAATTAAAATTATTAAATGTTGGTATTAGAATTTTGACAGAATAGTGACTATATTATAGTCTATTAATAACATTAAAACATAATATATCATTTGTTTCTTAATATAAATTCTGATTTTTTAAAATTAATAAATTCACCATACGGTATGTAATACTTTTTATAATACTATTATAATATAAGTTATATAGAAGTACTATTCTATAACTTCTCACTGAGTTTAGTAACTGTAAGGCAACTAAAATAACGTTTTAAAACTTAAATAATATTCTTAAACAAAAACAGAGTGAATATTATATAAAGTCATAATAAAAGCTTAGAATTCTAATACATTTGTACAGAAATATGTTTTTGTGAAATATATTTATTTAAGTTATTTCTTCACAAAAAAATATTTAAGAATAAATTTCAATTTTAAGAGATTTACCTCAAAGTTAAGAACTCCTGTTTGATGGCAACCCATAGACTTAAATGTGTTGAACACTAGATGTGCATATTTGGTTGCATCTAAACACAGCATATTAACAATTATAATGTGTTTTGCATTTCATTAAAGTTTATTACAAACAGTAGATTTACAGTAATGTTAATAAATAAGATGTGCCTTACCTCCTTGTGGAAAGTATTTATTAAAAATTACTTTAAAATCATTTTCAGTGCAGAATCCTGACGGGCATTCCTGTCATAAATCAGTTTCAAATGCAATCAGTTTTTCATTTATTTGAGAAATTGATTATTGTTTGCAGAGTTTTAAAGCTCTCAAACAACACTTATGGTATATAAAAATAAGACAAATACAGCGTTTTTCAATTAAAATTTAATGCTTAAAGCCGTCGGTTATTATAAAATACATTTCAAACTAAATATAATAAATATTTAATACAATTATTGACAAATTAGTAAATATAATATTTATGAAAAAATATTGCCCTTATCTTTATATAAATTATGTTGTGTTTGATTTGAAGCAAAGTAAACGAGTTATACAAATATGATAATTAACTATAATATCATTGGTTTGGCATAACTCAATTATTTGCAAATTATTCCCAAATTGAATATAAAATAATTATTCATTGATATTAAGCTAACATATATTTTATTTAATTAAATAATTTATAGCCAGAATATCAATAAACTTAATATTGTTTTGATATAACTTTACATACATAAAAAAGTATATGCATAAAGTTTGTGTTTTTGTGAGAAAGAGACAGCGATTATATCAAATTAAATTATTTGCAAACAAAAGTTTATTGAAAACAATATTGAATTCCTGGAATATATTTACATTTACATAATTATTATGCAATAAAGTGTCTGAAAATTTCATGAAAACTGTCAGTTTTGGGAAAATAAATAATTTGAAGAAAATTGATTACACGAATAGCAACAACTAATTTTACCAAAATTCAAAGTAAAACTAAATTAAGCGCCTATTATACACTGCATTCCACAATTATTGTCCACTTTGTTTTTAATATTACATCAATACTGTAGTGTAAATTATATAAAATGTATGCAATTATATGTAAATATCAATATTAACTTATTATATTATATATTATTACAACTCAAAACATTAATACAGGCATAACAAAGTTTTAAAAATTATTAATATGTATAAATATTAAATGAGGATCTATATTAAAATATATTATTTAGAAAATAATAGTTGGTTATAAGAATTGAAATTAAATACCTGTTTGAATCCCTGATACATGAGACGAATCTCGTTTTTATTAAAATGTGAACCTTTGCAGAGACTGTCTAAACCACCTGGCTTATAACGGTGGAATATAAACAGATCATCATCGTTTTCGTCGTTATCTGCAATATATTTGTAAAAACAATTAATTTTTAAATAAAACTATACGATTAAATACATTATAAAATATTGAATAACGTTATACGATATAAACTCGCTTTTTGCAAATAATTTTAGTGTTTATAATACAAATACTGCAAAATATAATAGAATTTTTTGTATTTATGACAGAAATTCTGCAAAATATGTAATTTCAATATAAAGACTATTTTGTCATAATATTATTCTCCATTTCTTTATCACATTTGAAAAAATATTTAAATGAAATAAGATTTACATGTATTTTGTGGTTATTTTATAAAATTTCATTTCAAAAATATTGAATCATTGCATAAAAATGATTGCTTCGACTAAATTTCAATTCAATAGATTTGAGTGAAAAAATTGAGAGAAAAACAATTGCAATAAAAATAGTGTTGAATCCCATCTCAGAGAGACTCAAATACTCTGATTTACAAATAAATTATTTTTATTTGTTATATAATACTATATAAAACGAGTGTAACATAAAAATATTTTCCTTTGATAGCTGATTTTGTTAAAAGCTTTAAAATATGCGCTTAAAATTCAGTTATAGTTTAAATTTGTGGAACACATGAAATATGTATTTAT